CAGCTCTCAGATACCTCCTCCTACCTTCCCCTGGACCATGACCCCACCATGGCACATCAGGCCCTTGTATCCACTACGGTTACGGATCTCATTTCATCCAGTGATCTCCCCCGATCCACTTCCAAGCTAATAGTCCCCCAACCACGCACAGCTCGTTTCTACCTCCTGCCGAAAATCCACAAACAGGACTGTTCAGGTAGATCCATTGTTTCAGACTGCTCATGCCCCACAGAACTCATCTCTTCCTACCTTGACTCAGTCTTCTCCCCCCGGTCCAATCCCTACCCACATACATCCATGATTCTTCTGACACCTTACCGTCGTTTCAAAGCTTCCAGTTTACCGGCTCCAGCCACCTCCTCTTTACCATGGATGTGCAATCCATTTACACATCCATTCCCCACCAGGAGGGTCTTAGGGCTCTCTGCTTCTTCCTGGAGCAAAGACCTGAACCATCCCCACCCACCACCACCCTCCTCCGCTTGCCAAGCTGGTCCTCACCCTCAACAAGTTCTCTTTCAGCTCCTCTCATTTTCTTCAGGTAAGAGTGGTTGCCATGGGTACCTGCACCGGCCCTAGTTATGCCTGTCTCTTCGTGGGTTACATGGAACATTCCTTGTTCCAGTCCTATTCCGGCCCCCAACCACAACTCTTTCTCCGATACATCGATGATATCATTGGTGCTGCTTCCCTCTCTCATCTGGAATTGGAAAACTTCATCAATTTCGCCTCCAATTTCCACCCTGCCCTCACTTTCACCTGGTCTATCTCTGACTCCTCCCTTCCCTTCCTCGACATTTCTGTTTCCATTTCTGGGGATAGACTGGCCACTAATATCCATTACAAATCCACTGACTCCCACAGCTACCTGGACTATACATCTTCACACTCCACCTCCTGTAAAGACGCCATCCCATTCTCTCAGTTCCTCCGTCTCCATCGCATATGTTCAGATGAGGCCAACTTCGACAAGGGAGCCTCCGAAATGTCCACCTTCTTCCTCAACCGAGGATTCCCCAGCTCCGTTGTCGACAGGCCCCTTAACCAGGTCCGACCCATCTCCCGCACTTCAGCCCTCAGCCCCTCTCTTCCCTCCCGCAACAGTGATAGGGTTCCCCTTATCCTTACCTACCAGCCCACCAGCATCCACATCCAGAAGATCATCAGGTGCCCTTTCCACTACCTCCAGCAAGGTGCCACCACCAGACACATTCCCCTCCCCTCCCTTGTCCGCCTTCCACAGGGACCATTCCCTCCGGGACACCCTGGTCCACGCTTCCATCACCCCCAACACCTCCCCACAGCCCCATGGCACCTTCCCCTGTACCAGCGAAGGTGCAACACCTGCGCATTTACCTCCTCCCTCCCCAGAATCAAGGGCCCAAACATACCTTTCAAGTGAAGCAACAATTCACCTGCACTTCCAAGAATCTAGTCTACTGCATTCGCTGCTCACAATGTGGTCTCCTCTACATTGGGGAAACGAAGCGTAGACTTGGCGACCACTTCGCAGAACATCTACGTTCTGCTCGCAAAAAAGTCCTTGAACTACCCGTTGCCTGCCACTTCAATGCACCACCTTCCTTCCTGGCCAACATCTCTGTCTCTGGCTTGCTACAGTGTTCCAGTGAAGCCCAATGCAAGCTGGAGGAACAACACCTCATTTTCCGCTTGGGGACCCTACAGCCCTCTAGACTCAATGTTGAGTTCAATAATTTTAGGACCTAAACTCTCCTATGTCCCAGCCCCCCACCCCACACACCAGGCCTTGTTTCCACATAGCCTGCCACTACACACCCGCTGTTGTTAGTCACTAACAGTCCCCATTAACAACTACTCACCCTCCCAGCCTGATCGTTAGCAACTCCTTTGTCTGTCCAACTATCTTTCTCTCTCTTTGGGCTCTATCTTATCATTTACTCCCTACCCCATCCACCTCCCTACTTTCTGCATATAAACTGACGTTTTCCCAGCCAGTTCTGAGGAAGGGTCACCGGACCTGAAACATTAACTCCATTTTCTCCTTCACAGATGCTGCCAGACTTGCTGGGCTTTTCCAGCAACTTTGTTTTTGTTCAAGATTTGAATACATCTGTTAAACAAGGACAGCGGTGGACAGGTTTAGAAATGGAATGTCAGGGCTTCCTGCTGAGGCAAGGCCATAATGGAGTAATGACAATCAGAGATTCTAAAGAGGACAGAATGAGAGGACTGCAGGTATTTCAAGCGTAAGTGGAGCTAACATACGCATGCAGTAACACAGCCAAATGAACTGATATCACAAAGAGTAAGGAATTTGAGATTACTGTAAGCAGGAGGGACAAGGCCATGGAGGGTCTTACAAAGCAGATGTAAATTTTACAGCTTGCTCTTTGCATGACTAGGATTAAATTTGGTCAGTGAATGTGGAGTTCAAGAGTGAATGGGACTTGGGGTGAGCAAGTACACAGTCAGCAGAGTTTTGGTGATCTCATGTTTCTGGGTGGGGTCGTAGATAAGTATAAGAGGCTGAACAGGAATGTATTGGACTAATCAACTCTCAGGGTAACACAGGTATGGACAAAGGTTTTAGCAGCACCCGCGATATGGTGAAAACATGAGAAGTAATGGAGCCTCAAATATCCAGAGTTCGGATTGGTGTGGAAAGGTGGTGAGGAGCTCATTGTGTGGTTAAACATGAGACCCAGATTGTTAACAGTGTGGTTCAACATCAATTCCCCTGTAGAGGGATGAACTCACTAGTCAGGGAGCAGAATTAAGCAGCGATTGTCACAATTTTTAACTGGAGCAAATTTCTGCGCATGGAGGTGATGCTTTGTGGTGTTATCACCAGACTATTAATGCAGAGAGCCAGGTAATATTCTGGGAGCATGGTTTCTATTCCCCCTCTGGCAGATGGTGGAATTTGAGTTCAATAAAAATCTGGATATAAAAGTCTAATGATGACCATAAAACCATAGTTGATTGTTGGAAAAGCCCACCTGTTACACTAATGCCCTTTTAGGGAAGGAAACCCTGTCCGTAACCAGTCTGGTCGACATGTGACTCCAGATCGACGACAATTCAGTTGACTCTTAACTGCTATGGATGGTCAATTAACACTGGATGAGCCAGTGATGTGCACATCCTATGAATGAATAAATAAAACATCCAGTGGATGTGGAATACACAGTCTAATTATTTAGCAACAGTGGTGTAATTAATGGAGACGTTGGGTTCTGTGATGTGATAGAGTTGGGCAATGTCAATGGATGTATGAAAACTAATACACTGTCTTTGGATGAGCTCACCTAGAGGTGGTGTCTAGAAGACAATAGGAGGAGCCATCAATAGATCCTTGGTGGTCACCAAGTTCCAGGTTTTTGGACAGGAAAGGGAGGTTGTAGATGAGGGCAAGTTGGTTTTCACTGGATGGATGATGATAGTGAATATAAAGTGACAGCACCATACCAAACAAAAGCAAGAACTGTTAACAACATCAGTGAATGGGGGAAGGTTGGATGCTCAGTGACTGAGTGGAAACGGGGGTCAAAGGACTAGGAAGTGCATATCATGGATGTGAGGAGCTCTGGATGTAGGAGAGAAACTGGAGAATGTCTGAACACTGAACTTGCATCAAGGTGGAAGTTCAGAGATAGTTTCAGAGTCAGGAGGGACGTGGAAGTGGCAGCTGCTCTGATTAGAACAAAGAACAACACAGCACAGGAATACGCCCTTCAACCCTCTAAACCTGTGCCAACACATTTTGCCTTTCTGTGTTAATATTGTTTTCACTTACAGGATCCATATCCGTCTATTCGCTTCCTATTCATGTATTCGTCCAGGTGCTTCTTAAATGCTGCTATTGTGTTCGCTTACACCACGTCCTCTGGCAATGCATTCCAGGCACTCACCACCCTTTGTGTGAAATACTTGCCTCTCACATTTCTTTCAAAACTTTTCTCCTCGCACCTTAACCTGTGTCCCCTAGTAATTGAACCCTATACCCTGGGAAAAAGCTTCATACTTTCCACTCTATCTCATGCCATTCACAATCATTCTAGCAGGATTGTCTCAATCTGAATGACAAAGAAGCTCCATGAGCTCCTCACAACATGGAGGAGATAGGAGGAAAAACATTTCAAAAGAAAGTGCTGAGGACATTAAAAAGTTTCAGCAGACTGCGTGTTTAACATGAACCTAATATAATTCCTTTATAAACACCTACAACTAGGCTGGAATTCACAATGGTCAAATGAAAAAGACCACAATTAATCTAATTATGTGCTGGACGTGATTAACAGCAAATTCCAATTCCTTCAGTCAGAGGCAAATCAGTTCAAAGAGCACTTAGTGATTAAAGATATTAAAAAGGCTTGATACACAAAGCGGATTTAGTTCACTATCATCCTGTATGGTACTCCCTTTAATTCAGTAGGACTTTATTAACTTCAGTGTGGTCAGACCCCAATGGACATAATTTGATCTTCAATTAAGAAAAAAATTAAAATCTTTGGCACAGCTCCATGACAGGTGGGATTTGAAATCAGATCTTCTGGCTGAAAGAAGCAGGGATGAAGCATTGTGAAGCAGGGATATGTTCACAGTAAAAACCAGTCACTGTCATTACTCATGAACTTGCCGGTGTTTCAGCAGGTTGGATTTCACAGCAAATCTCTTCCCACACTCAATGCAAGTGAACTGCTTCTCCCCAGTGTGAGATCGCTGATGTATAGTAAGTCGGGTTAACCACTTGAACCCAGCCCCACAGTGAGAGCACCTGAACGGTTTCTCATCGGTGTGAACACGTTGATGGGTCACCAGATCCACTGAGATTTTATAGCACTTCGCACATTCTGGACACTGAAAAGGTCTCTCCCCATTGTGAATCTTTTGGTGATTATGAAGATCACACGATTGCCCCACAGTGAGAGCACCTGAAGGGTCTCTCATCACTGTGAACATGTTGATGGAATATTAGGGCCCCAGAGCTTTTATAGCACTTGGCACAGTCTGAGCATTTAAGGTCTGTCCACTTCGTGAAATTGCTGGTGTTTCAGCAGGGTTGATTTCCAAGCGAATGTCCTCCCACATTCTGAGCAGGTGAATGGTCTCTTCCCAGTGTGAATCCGCTGGTGCTCAATGAGGTCAGATGGTTGCTTGAAGCCAGACCTACAATACGAGCACATGAAGGGTCCCTCGTCACTGTGAACACATTGTTGGGATATCAGCGCCCCAGAGCTTTTACAGCCCTTCCCGCAGTCTGAGCACTGAAAAGGTCTTTCCTCCGTGTGAACTCGCTGGTGTTTCAGCAAGGTGGATGATTGAGGGAATCCTTTCCCAAACTCGGAACAGACAAATGGCCTGTCCCCAGTGTGACTGTTTTTATGTTCTGACAGGACAAATGATCTGCTGAAACCTTGTCCGCATGTACAACACATGTATGGTTTCCCTCCACTGTGAATGGTGCTTTTCCCTTCCATGTTCAAAATCCAATGACATTCAGGCTACAATAAATTGGCAACTCTGTCAGATTCTGAAGTGATATTTGGTTTTAAGTCTCCTCACTACAAATCTTACTGTTCTAATACCCTGCAGAATTAGTTGAAAAAAAGAAAAATGGAAGCAAGTGAAAACCCAGATAAAGAAAACAACAATGAAACCATAAGATGTAGGAGCAGAAGTAGACAATTCAACCCATCCAGTCTGCTCTCACCATTCAATGAGATCATGGCTGATCTGATAATCCTCAAATTCAGTTTCTTGTCTTATCCCCTTGCCCTCAATCCATTACTGATTATATTAGTGTTGAATACACTGAGCAGCCAGTCTCTACAGCCCTCTGCAATTAAGAATACCACAGATCAGGACACCAAGAGAAGGAATTCCTCCACATCTGTCTTAAATAGGTGACTCTTTACTCTGGGATTATGTCCTCCAGTCATCAATCCTCAAAGAAGGAGAAACATTCTCCCTGAATCTATCCTGTCAAGCCCCTCAGAATCTTACGCCTTTTAGTAAGGTCTTGTCTCATTGTTCTAAGCTCCAATGAGTACAGGAGCAGCTGCTCAATCTCATTCCCCGAGAAAATCCTCCCATGTCCGGAATCAATCTTGTTAAAATGCTCGAGATTGCCTTTCCTAAAATAAGGGGACAAAAACTGTTCACAGCATTCCAAGTGTGATCGGACTAGTATCATGAATAATTTTAGCAAGATATCCCCATTCCTTTTAAATAAAGGCCAACAGATCATTTACCTTCCTGATCACCTGAACTTGCCTGCTGGTTTTTCATCTTTCAAGCACACGGACCCACAATTTTCTCTGTGCTGCAGCTTCCTGCAGCATTTTCCTCCCATTTAAATAATATTCACCTCTCCTAATCTTCCTGCCAAAATGCATGAAACCTCAATTTTTCCCACATTATATTCCATCTGCTGAATTTTTGTCCACTTGCTAATCCTGTTTTTTGCCCTCTGTAATTTCATTGCGCCATCATCACTACTATCTATTTACTATCTACTACCTCTATCTATTTTGTGTCGTCATGTGCAAACCTGATGTCACTACATTCACTTCTGTTATCCAGGTGATTAGAATATGTTGTAAATAATTGTAGGCCCGGTATTGATCCCTCTGAGACACCACAAGTTACAATTTGCCATCATGAAATTGCCCTCTTTATCTCTACTCTCTGCCTTCAATTCATTACCCAATACTTGATCAATATCCTTGACTAATACATACCCCCAAACAGTGTGGGTTCGTGGGTTCCTAATGTATGAAGTAGTTTCATATACAATACCTTACAGAATGCTTTCTGAAAATCCAAAAATATTTCAACCATTGGTTTCCCCCTCATTTTGCTTATTATCACCTGAAAATATTTTAATAAAACTTGCCAGCTACGATTTCCCTTCACAAAACCGTGCTGACTCTGTTTGGTTCTAATGATGCATTTCTAAATGCTCTGTTATTCCAATTTCTATACAGTCTCTAACATTTTACATGTAACGGAGTAGGTTGTGAAATTGAGTTGAATTAATCTGTTAGTTTGTGGGGCTGGGCACTCAGAAAAGGGGACCATTAAAGCTACCAATTGTCATAAAATCCCAATTAGTTCATTCATGTCCTTCAGTGAGGGAACCTCCCATCCAATGTGGTCATACAGACCCTGCCCTCCACGCGATAGTGGGGATTGGGGGATGTCGGGGAGAAGAGAGGGGTCTGGTAGGAGGAGATGGTGAATGAGAGGGACCAACAGGTAAACCAAAACTTTAGCAAAACTTCCCAAACTAGCCAATTCCACTACCACAAAGGACCAGGAGAGCAGGCATATGTAACCATCGCCACCTCAAAGCTCCTTCTAAGTCACACAATGCCCTGACATCCAGTGTTGGATGATTAGAAATTTCCTCCAATTTAATGTCGAACTTGGGAGTATAGACTGCGCAGGAGAGATGTTAGGAATCACTTCCAAATAAAAAGAGTGGTAAAGAGGTAGTAAAAGTTTAGAACTATCTTCCAAAAATGCTCAATCACTCAGTTGTTAGTTTTAAATCTGAGATAGATAAACTTTTGTTCAGCAAAGGTATTCAGGAATATGGGCCAAAGGTAAGTATAGAGTTAGGTCTCTTTAACCACGAGATTGAATGACCCTGTCAGACAAGCTGAAGGTACCTCAGTCCTTCAGCTTGTCTAACAGTTTGACATTCTTGCTCCTTGTGTGGATGAAAATGGGGGCTGGAGGGAGGATAAGTAAACTGACCACAGCACTGTGGTAGAGGGAGCCATTCAAGATGGGTGAGAAAAGAGAAATATAGTTGTAATTGAGGATAGTGTAGTCAGGGGAATAGACATTCTTCTCTGTTGCCAGAATCAAGAATCCCAAAGGCTGTGTTACCTACATGGTGCCTGTGTTCAAGAAATCTCATCTGGGCTGCAGAGGAACTTGCAGCTCGGGGCTAAATTTAAAAAAAGGTAATAATCTCTGTATTACAACCTCAGCCATGAGCAAATTCGCATAGCGTCAGCAAGATTACAGAGGTAAATGTGTGACTGAAAGATTGGTGTGGAAGAGAAAGGTTCAAATTCATTGGACATTAGTGTCAGCACTGGGGAGGGTGGAGCTATTCCAATAGGATGGGCCCCACCTGAACGATGCTAGGACCAGAGTCTTGGCAAATTGCATAACTAGGATCTGTGGATCGGACATTAAATTAAATCATGGTGAGGTGGGTTCAGTTGCGTGAAAGATTATGGAAACATTCAAGAGGGGGAGGGCTCAGTACAGGTTAAAGTTTCCACAACAAGTAATAGGACAGAAACTATGGAAAGGATCAGGAATTTAACTTCAGGCATAGCAGGTAAGGGGACAACTACGAGAAGAGGGGCAGTCAACGCAGGACTGAGGGTGGTGTACTTAAATGCATACAGTGTATGAAATAAGGTAAATGAGCTTGTAACACTGGTTGAAATTGACAGGTACAATGTTGTAGGTATCATAAAGACGAGGCTGCAAGGGGATCAGGGCTGGAAACTAAATGTTCAAGGACACACGTCCTATAAAAAGACAGGCAGAGGGTCGGGGGGTTGGTGGGGTGGTGGGGGGGAGCGGGATTGCAATGTCAGTAAGAAATGAAATTAAATTGACAGCGAGAAGTGAGATAGAGTTGGAAGGCATAGAATCCGTTTGGATAGAGTTAAGGAACCACAAAGGGAAAAAAAGACACTGATGGAGTTTGTGTAGAAGCCTCCTAGCAGTCATTGGGCTGTGGAGAAGAAAATAAATCAGGAGATAGAAAAGGCATGTAAAAAAGGCACTATTGCAATAATCGTGGGGAACTTCAATATGCAGATAGTCTGGAAAAATCAAGCTGGCAGTGGCTCTCAATAAAGTAATTTTTGGAATGTCTACAAGATTTTTTTTGGAGCTGCTTGTGGCAGAACCCACTAAGGAACAGGTAATTCTGGATTTAGTGATGTGTAATGAGGCAGATTTGATTAGGGAGCGCAAGGTGAAGGAACCCCCAGGAGGCAGTGACCATGATATAATAGAGTTGACCTTGCAGTTTGAGAGGGAGAAGACTGAATCAGATGTAACAGTATTACAATTGAGTAAAGGTAACAACAAAGACATGACGGAGGAACTGGCCAGAGGTGATCAGAAGGGGGTGCCTAGCAGGCAAGGCAGTTTAGCAGCAATAATGGAAGTTTCTGGGGTAATACAGGAGGCCCAGCAGAAATTCATCTCAAGGAAGAAGAAGCATACAAAGGCGAGAATGAGGCAACCATGGCTGACAAGGAAATTCAGGAAGAACATAAAAGCAATAGAAAAGGTGTACAATGTGGTGAAATTAGTAGAAGCCAGGGGATTGGGAAGCCTTTAAAAACCAGCAGAGGATAACTTAAAATAAACAATAAGAGTGGATAAAATGAAATGAGAGTAAGTTGGCTAGTAATATAAAAGAAGGCTGCAGGGCATTTTTTTAGATATGTAAAAGGTTATAGAGAGGCAAGAATGGATATTGGACCACAGGAAAATGAGACTGAAGAAGTAGTAATGAGGAACAAGGAAATGGCAGATGAACTGAATAAGTACCTTGCATCAGCTTTCAGAGTGGAAGGTACCAGCAGCATACGAGAACTTGAAGAGAGATATGGGGCAGAAGTGAATGCACCGGCCATCACTAAGGAGAAGGGGCTGTGGAAACTAAAATGTCTGAAGGTGATAAATGACCAAGACCGGATGGACTACACCCCAGAGTTCTGAAGGAGACAGCTGAGGAGATTGTAGAGGCATTGGTGGTGATCTTTCAGAAATCACTGGAGTCAGAGATGGTCCCAGATGACTGGAACATGGTTAATGCAACACCCCTGTTTAAGAAAGGAGGGAGGTAGAGACAGAAAACTACAGGCCAGGTAGCCTGACCTCAGTTGTTGGCAAAATCTTAAAGTCCTTTATTAAGGATGAGACGGCAGAGTACTTGGAAGTGCATGGTAAATTTGGGCTGAGTCAGCACAGCTTTGTCAAGGGGAGGTCATGCCTGAGAAATCTGTTAGAATTCTTTGATGAAGTAACAAGCAAGTTAGATAAACTGAGAGCTAGTGGACATGATCTATTTAGAGTTCCAGAAGAACTTTGTCAAGGTACTGCACAGCAGGCTGCTAAATAAGATAACAGCATGGAGTTAGTGGCAAAGTAGAGGATTGGCTGACTGGCAGAAGGCAGATAGTCAGTGTAAAGGAGTCTTTTACAGGATGGCAGCCAGTAACGTGATCAGTTCTGCAGGTCCGTGTTTGGACCACAATGATTCATTATTCATTAACAGTCTGGATAAAGGAACTCAGGGCATTGTTGCTACACTTGCAGATGATGCAAAGATAAGTGAAGAGACAGGTAGTGTTGAGGAAGCGGGGAGGCTGCAAAAGGATTTGGACAGGCTAGGAGAATGGACAAAGAAGTGGCAGATGGAATACAATGTGGGAAATTGTGGTCTGCACTTTGGTGAGGAGCATAAAAGGTATAGACCATTTTCGAAATGTGGAAAGGCTTCAGAAATTTCAAGCACAAAGGGGCTTGCAAGTCTCAGT